TCTTAAACATGGACAAAGACGTCATGTATCTCTTCGATTAATCCTTAACTATCGAGCTTCAGTTACTAAGTCCTCTTGACATTGATGCAAAACGTGCCGCATTCTGCACACCATCGACGCGACAGCAGCTCGTTGGATTCGACCTGCGTCGAACGCTGCGTCGATCTGGACCCCGCTAGCCGTTGGTGCCACTGCAAGCTCAATCTTGTACACCCCAAAGCGATGTTCCGATCCTTTTTCCATTTTTCGCAGCAAGTCGTCGACGTCACTGTGGTTGTCGTTGAAATTGTGAAACGCCACTTCCGTGTCGTATTGCATGGCTGGAAGGTGGCTCCACGTTGTCGTGTCTTCAGGGTCGATCATGCAATGGCCCAGCATCGCACTGCGCATTGTTTGCAACTGTTGCAGACGCTCGACCAACGTCATAGGGGCGCCAAAGTGGACTCGGCACGGCACGGAGCTCATCGCACAGCCAAGCATCCTATAGGCATATAGTCAGACAAACCACAACAGGAAAGAGGTCGCACCGGTCAAGCCCTTCCACAGGGAGGTTGCGATTCGCCTGCACTTGTCCAAACACAACGTCGTCACGTCCAGTGTGGACCTGCAGCGTCATCGCCCAGCTCAGGAGCACGACAGTTGATGTTGTCACGCCAAAACGCTGGGCCAGCGTCTGTAGCTGCGGCAAGTGCACGTGGGTGGAGACGGATCCATCCCCATCGGAGCCCACTGAAGCATACAGATGGGGAACGATGGAGTTCAGGAGTGGAGACGTCGAGGCGTCGACAAGATAGGCGGTCCAGAAGGCGACTGTTGTGGCCGAGTCTTGGGCGTGCAAGTAGTCGATCACTGCTCGAAAGGACGGGCGGGACGGTGGCGACGTTCCAGTGCGATACACGTGCAGCAAATCTGACAACAAGAGGGAGATAGACCAGCCGTCGTACAGAGCGTGGTGGATCGTCAAGACGCCAATGGACTCCTCAGACGGATGAGCGATGTCGACGACTGTGAAGCGCGCAAACGACGAGTCTGACAGTTTAAACCCAACTGAAGCGTCTGTTACCAAGAACGCACGCATGGATTCAGCTTGAACTCGATAAACGCTGGCGGACGAGTTCACAACATGACACACACCGAGGGTGGCGGAGTCCACGAACGTCGTGCGCAACGTTTCACAGGTTGCGGCCAGATGCAGGTACGCGGCCAACGCTTCTTGTGCGTCCAGTCCTGAGAGCGGCACCTGGAGCACCCACATGGACGGGTCTTGCTTGGTCATGCGCACTTGATACGACTGCTCGGGGGTGGTGCCGTAGGCTGTTTCGTAGTCCGGCCAAGTCGTCACCACTTGGTCGATGGTGTGGTCATCCAGTGGCACCTGGGGCCACGCCGTCCTCTTTTGCTGACCAACCCGCAGCGCCATGTCGCACAGACGATTGTACTTCATGATATCCCCCACGGACAGAGGAAGGCCAGCTCGATTGCAAGCCGAAGCCAGACGGATGGCCAGAATGGAGTCGCCCCCGAGCGAGAACATCGACATGCGTCGACCGATGTCGCGTGTATCCACTTCAAACACTTGGGCCCACACTGCTGCCAACTTGACTTCTGTGTCACTTTCCAAACCCTCCGTCTTAATCTGCACCTCCATCCCCACCAGAACTTTCTTGTCAATCTTGCCGTTGGAATTCATCGGCATCACGTCCAGGCCAATCCACACAGCAGGCACCATGTACGTGGGTAAGTAATTGTTTACACATTGCTCCAGCGCCACCACATCGACGTCGGACGGCGTAAAGTACCCCACGAGGTGCGTCTTGTCCTTGACAATGGCGGCGGCCGACTTGACCGACGGGTGCTGCATCATGGCATTGGCGACTTCATCCAACTCGATGCGGTAGCCCTTCAACTTGACCTGGCTATCTTGTCTGCCAGCGATTTCGAATTGGCCATTGGGCAGCAGACGACCCAGATCCCCTGTCTTGTACATTCGGCCATGGCCAAAGGGGTCCACCAAGAATCGCTCTTCCGTCATTTCCGGCAAGTTGATGTAGCCTGGCGACACGCAAATGCCGCTCAAGTAGAATTCACCCAGAATGCCAAATGGGACCTGTCGGTGGTTGTCGTCCAACACGTAGCAATGGACGTTGGGAAGCACCGACCCGATTGCAATGGATTCCGTCAGGCTCAGTCGAGTACCGTGGGACATGATCGCACACTCAGACGGACCGTACAGATTGAACAACTTGACCCTTGGTGCCCACAAGTCCTTGAGTGCCACTGGACAAGCCTCTCCAGCCACCGCCACGACCTTCAGCTGGGGATACTGGTTTGGTTCGCCCAGCAAGGACAACGCAGTGGGGGTGCACGTCAGATTGCTAGCCGTTGACAGCGCCGACAGATCGTCTTCACTTCTTAAGACCAAGGTCGCACCAAAGGACAGACTCTCCCACATGTCGGCTTGGAATCCATCGAAACCAATGGCCATCAATTGAAACACCCTAGAGTCCTCCTTGATTTCAAGGATACCACCAAAGCGCTCCATAGAGTTCACCGCACTGTGGTGTAGAACAGGAACACCTTTGGGTTTGCCAGTCGACCCAGACGTGTAGACAATGTACGCTTCGTCCAACTTGGTGGCCATGTGGCAGGCTGATGGCACGAACTCTGACTTGGAGGTTGCAACATCAATGACCACAACGTCAACAGCCAACTCCAAATCAACAATCGTTTGCCGGAATTGACTTGTCGTGACCACAGCGCACACACCAGCATCTGCCACCATGAATGCCAAGCGAGCAGAGGGAAAGGCCACATCCAATGGCATCATGGCAGCACCCACTTTGAGCACCGCAAGCAATCCAATGGGAAACTCCAAACAACGGTCCATGATCACAGCCACTCGAGACCCAACGCACACGCCCAAGTGGGCCAAGTCACTGGCCACCGAGTTCGCGAGCGCGTCGAGTTCCCCGTACGACAGCCACCGGTCCTGAATCTCCACAGCTCGAACATGAGGACGCGCCTTGGCTCGAGTTTCAAAGGCGTGGTGAAGCAGTTCAAACGGCAATGCCACATCTGGTCCAGACGATGCGGTTGTGATCAAGCTCATCTGAGTTGGATTGAGGTCCCATAACCGGGCAGTCATCAGAGGTATCGCTTTTGGCGTGAGAAGAGCATCACACAGCTGTGTCAGTGTGAAGTCGAATTCGTCTATCATCGCCGTTGCACTGGTGCATGTCAACACTGACGACAGGTAATACGCCGCGATTGTCCAATCCGAGGCAGATGGGGTATTCACGACCACGTTCAATGCGTATTGGCTGGACAGCGCGTCTCGTACGCCCAACGGAGATTCCATCGTGGCATTTGACTGACACTCCAACGACGTGTCACACAACTTATCGAGTGAAAGCTGGTTGCTCCAGTTTCCAACGTCGTCAGGTTTAGCTTGGGAAATGGAGGTCTGCGAGGCGCGGAACGCGAGAAGGAGTTTCATCAGAGGCAGTGAGTCGTCAAAACGGACACGGCAAGGCACGACAGAATGTCCGATGGTCCTACCAAAACCCCTGTCAATAAAATAAAAGTGTGTACGACGTAGTATATACGATGTACCTCGAGGCGTCATTAACTGCAGTCTCATCTCGAGAGCGAATCACGTAGCCAAACAAGACGTCGTCGTTCCGAGTGAAATTACGGAGGGTCGCAGCCCAAGCGATTTGGATCACTTCCGCGATGTCTGACTTCGTCTGGAAAGCGGCATGTGCCAGCACGGCCGGCGACACTGAATGGGCCAACGTCACGGAATGGAGGCGGTTGTGTAAGACCTTTGCTGGAGGGGAGAACCCAAGTGGGCTCGGGCTAACTCCTTCGAGGTAAGTTTGCCAAATGTCATCGGAACATTGTTGCTTCGGGTAGTAGCCGATGGACACGTTGTCGTAGCTTGTGGATTGGGTAGTACCTTCGGAGTCGTGGATGTGCAAGTCGGTGTCAACGTCGATGGTAGTTGACCGCATTATTAGGTTGGATAAAAGTTCGTCCCAGAACAATGCAAAAGGACAACTGTGAAGGTGTGCACTCATCTATGAGAGGAACTTTACTACCGTATAAACACAAGTGTTTGAAATCTCGAACATTACACGTGACTGAATCGACGCACTTCGAATTGGATGGATCCGACCACTTTCCAATCAAGCCTAAACTTAACACCCTTTCGAGTGACGACAGAGCACCCTCACAGAAAAATCACTGTAGCGTACTGTAGCGGGGGTGTGATACCTATTTGTGTACGAGTGGTGCCTTGGAATGTACACGACAGGAAGTACTGTATTTGATAACGCAGCAGGTAAGCCACTCCACCATGGACGAGGCTAGGCTACCGATCATACTTTTTGCTTGAACCGTTTGCTTCATATTAGAACCGACATCGCCATGGTTGGTTAACTTCAGAAAAAACTGGTTCATGGTATACCGTGGGACCACGTCACTGGAGTTCCAGGAAACTGTAAAACGCTAGGGGCTTCACTATGGAAGGTTAGCGGTGTCGACTCCATCGATTCCGACAGAGGATTGTTTTGTAACGTTAACTGGAAATCCATCGAACGGTGAACGCTAATTTAAGTGCAAATCGCAATACTTCACGTTACAGAGGTTTTGCAAGTGTTCCGTTCGCGGCTGCGTTCCATTGAGCTGCCAAAATCGGAAGTTGATTCGCGTTGTAGTACTGTACTAGTAGTAGAACGCAAAAGCGGACCCAGGTAAATCTGCTTGCCTGTCGGTGAAAAGTACCAAGCTCACGGACTGGCATAACGTTAATTCCATGCTGTTCCTCTATAGTCGATCTGATTGGACACACTATATTGGATTAAAGCTAATCAAATCCTCGAGTTGCAGCTTTAGGATAACGGTAGCGTTACACGTCGATTCCAGTGAAAAGTTGTATCTGTGGACTTGTTTCATGAACGGGGTAAGCATGGACAGCACATGACGTAAGCAAGGAAAGCACAGGGATGAAAATTCGGAAAATTACCACAAATACGGATATACAATGAGTAGTACACGCCAACGGATTGTTGCAAAACAAAAACAAAAGTTCCGTTCTAGCTTCCTCTGACACACAAAACATGGTGCAGATCAGACCGCAACCCCGAACGGACACTTGCAAATCCTCTCAAGTAGAGAGGACAGTGTAATGGCAATTCCGAGACCTCAGTTTTCAAACAATATTAGCGGTGTCCCACGACTATTAATCCGCTCATGATACAATCGCATCGCCATAGTTTCCATGTCGTGATCCTACTAGATTACGAGCAAACGGAGACGCAGACCGAAGCGGAAAAGGCACTTCCGGTCGGAGCCGTGACATTGCGCCCCCCTGGACACGTGATGACCAGCGTGCCGTTAGTAAACTGCTGGCCGAGACACTCCCCTTGGACTGGCGCGTCGCAATTCCACCAGGGCGCCGGCACGCAATCCAAGTACTTGCACCACGGGCACGCCTTGGTCGCATTCGACTAGGTAGCACACTGTATTCAACCACTACAATATGGAATGTCGAGAATCCATGAAGAGTCACCTCGGTGGCCAGCAGAATAGTAAAAAGCAAGGTGAACACAATGGTAATAGTGCCCCCAATCTTGGCCAACAGTCGCTGCTTGGGCGTGCGGGTGTTCAAGAGCCGATGCTGCCGGGAGGTTGGGAGACTTAACATGGCAAACCCCATGCCCAAACCACTCTAGTTGCCAATGAGGAAAAGTAGTACTAGTATACGTTAACGTCCAAATGTGACATGTGTCATCATGCAAAAGTGATATATATATCATCATCCAAAAGTGATATATATGTAACGTCATTTGGAATGTATATATACGGTATATATATGTATATGTCTAGAAATGCGTACGAGGAACCCCGAGAGGTGGGCAAAGTTGTTCACGAACGGCAGCAGCCCAATGCCCAAGTTGACAATTGCGACCCCGATCAAGTTGGTCTAAAAGATAAAAAGTCAAGATTTCTGCTGGGAATGAGAGAGAGTAATAGTACTACTACGAAGTACTAGTACAGTATGTAGTACCATATGACACAATCGATTTGCGTACAAGTCCCAGTTCAGGACAAACTCGGCAAACGTGGCCCCAAAGAGGCCGAAGATCGCCCCTGACGCCCCCACGCCGATCTATATTTCATACATAGTTGACGTTTAGAAATATATATAACATATACAAATATTATCCCCACCACATCCGGGACGAACACTGCCGAGCACATGGCGCCGATGAGTCCCGACGCAAAGTATATGCACACGACTCGACGCCGGTCGAATGTGTTTTCCAATTCCACGCCCAATTGGTACAACGCGAGCATGTTGAACGCCAAGTGCAGTCTAGCATGTCATAAAACAACCAAAATTGACTCTAAAAACGTCAAATAACGACATAATCCAACGATATAATGATAAGTCGTACAAGCCGCCGTGGAGGAACATGGCCGTGAACAGGCGCCACCACTCGCCCTGGAAAATCAGGTCGGACCGCTGGGCACCCATGCGAAGCAGCAAGTCGCCGGACGGACCGACCAGCGGGTTCACTTTCACCTCCTCGAACTTCCACCCGTTCTCGCCACTACAGCTCCAATGAGTACTGTTTCCATGGACATCTCGTGTGTACATTTCGACAACGAAGATGGTGATGTTGAGTGCAATCATGGTCAAGATGAACTTGAAGTGCGGCCACACTTTGGGTTTGGATTTGGACAGCGTCGTCAGAACTGGGGGGGATGGGGAGTTGGATCCACTTGCATCAAATGCGCCCTTTTCGACGTCCGTTTCTTCTTCCCGAGGCGTGTCCTTGGGCTCATAATGGGAGCCCGCAGGCTGTTGCTGGTGCTCGCCGCTGTCGCTGCGTCGAGACATATCTAACCTCCGCGACTCTTCGCACCAACAAGGATTGTGGCTAAAAATATATCATGCGGTTCCAGCCCTTGCAGTACAAGGCTTCACGAGTACCATATTATTCACTGGTTTTATGCATACACTTGCATATTGCGCTTGCCATTCTTCCCTTTACCCGTAGCCATAATCATCAAGTACACGCCAAGTGTTGTAATTACAATTCCAGAGGACCTGTTTTGATCATAAATGCCGAAATAGCCGAAAAAGTACCAATTTTGGCATGACTTTTCCTCATTATCTGTGTGTAAAGATGCCTCCAATGGCGTTCGTTATAAGTGCTACAACTTTACAGCTCAAAGACATCGGCTTGTTGCTCCAGGGCCAAGTTTCGTAGGTACAGCGTTTGATCAAAGAACGTCATGATACTCGACATCTCATCCTACCACCATCCTCGTCACATATATATTAAATATATTTCAATACCTTGTTGGACAGGGCCACTGGATGGTACGGCACGCTCTTGGCTTTGACACCAGACATGACAGAGGTAGTTGCTGTAAACATGTCGGTTCGAATGAGCGGGTCATTGGAGCTATGCAGCACCAGACCGGGCGTCGAGCTGGGCGAAACAGTTGCGGTGGAGAGCAACGCCCCCGACACACTCACGACGCCTAATACCACAAGATGATGAGATTCATAAGGAAGGATGCGAGTTCCTACCTCCGAGGCGATGGGAACATGCAGCCACCACATGCAACGCGACGGTGCCGCCATGGCCAAATCCCATGAGGAACACTCGATGGAGAGGCCAGTTGTAGTCAGTTTGCAACGTGTGCAGAGCATCCAGCCACGCGGCGACCACTTGGTCCAAGCTGCCACTGATGTGAATGGATTATGGTGATACTGGTAGTACCTCTGAAGGCGTCTGGGGTCAGGAACGTGGTGGGGAAGGACGTCGCCTTGTGCATCAAGAGCATGATCGAACCAATGGTAGCCCAAATCGAATGGAAGGGCATGTGGTGCGCGAAAGGATGCAAATGCTACGTCGTCAGCAGGTGAGTTCACGATGTTGGGGAATGAACGTACCAGTCTGGGGCAGCTGCATCGCTTGGCCGAGCGTAAACAGACTCTCATGGGTGTCTCCAAGCCCATGGAGGAACAGAAGCAGGTTCTCGTTGCTTGTAGGACAACTGTGTACTTGCCAGTGTTGCAGCATGGAAGGAAATGACGTCGGCGCCCATGAAGTCGACGCCGACACGGGAGCCAGCTCATGGAGAAATGCCCATCTTGTGGTGGAGGTCGCATGGATGTGGAGCAGAGCGACGCCAGATTCAGGAAGGACCTTCAACACCTTGCCACGGACTCGTAACAACTCGACTTCATCGCCCACAGCAAGGCGGCGCGCCATGATTCAAATCACATATCAATCCATAGAGGTTTGCACATTATACCTACATTGAGTTTATTTATAAATAGAGGTAACCACCAACCCGATCACCCGAATTAGTTTCCATTTTCGCAGCCGTTGTGTAACGTTAGGGCACATTATCAAGGCAGTGAATTATTGTGCAGCATTGTAGCTCACACTTCGCCTTCTTCCCGCGGAATTCAGCGGGTACATTTCCAAAAAAGTATGGTCACTGGGGGTGACAAACGTTGCAGTACATGCGTATACGCTTTAACAGCGGAATCAAATGCACCTAGCCTCTCCTCCTTCGCCAAGGGGCACGTTCATCTCCAATTACGTCGTCGAGGATCTCTACTATCTTACTACATGGTCATTTCCCGCAGCCTGTTAGTGCCCGTGCGATTCGATCAGGTAGGTAGCTTAGTCCCTCGGAGGAGATTCAACTGGAAACCCCGCGTGAATGAAACGGACATGCAAGCGTCACTCAGAAGGCTGAAACCAATGGCTCTCTCTCTGCTTACTTTTGCATTGCGTCCGCCTTGCGTCGCCCATGGAGTTCCGTGTGTACTCTCCTTCGTCCGTCCAAGACACCGCCAATATATCCCATCATCACCATCATCCGCCGACCCATCCCGATCACTACTCGCCGCTCGTGTGCTACTCGTACACGCTCAACACGATCCTCGGCGTGGGCTGCCTCACGATCCCGTACGCCGGTCTCGTCCTCGGCTTAAGTACCGTAGTGGGTATGTCGTTTCTTTCGTATGTGACCGTGCTGTGGACGTGCGAGGCGCTGGAGAGGCACCGCCGCCGCCTCCACCTCCTGCCTCCGACTTCCGACGACGACTTGGAGGTCGTGACGCTCTGCCGCGTCTACCTCGGCTCCATCGGCGCCAATCTGTACCACGTCGCGCTCTACAGCTACGGCTACGCCGTCCTCGTGGCCTTTGCCCAAGTGTTCATCGCGGCACTGTCCACCCAATTCCCCGCACTGTCATCCTCGTTAGTCGCGCTATTCTACAGTCTCGTGGTGGTGCCGCTGTCGTGCATGGACCTCACCGAGCAGATCGTGGTACAGCTATTCCTCACTTCTGTGCGCTTCGCCGCCATCACCCTCATGACTGGCAGTCTGCTCTTCCCGCCGACCACCTCCGCGTCCTCGGACACATTCTCCTATGTGTAGCGCTTCCGCTGGTCAACTTTGACGGTTTGGGACTCCTCGTGAGTACCGTTGTATTTGCTCAGTTCTGCCACATGTGCGTACCTTCCCTCATCGCGCCGCTCAAAAAAGAGGCCACCGTCGCCGCCCCGTCCATCTTCTTGGCGGCCATGACAACCACCACATGCATCTACGTCGTTCTCGCCGTCCTCTGCGCCATCTCCTTCGGGCCCCAAACCCTCTCCAGCGTCAACCTCAACTGGAGCTCATTTCCATCAATGCCCCTTGTCGTAAGAACGTTCCTCGTCCTCTTTCCCGCCATCGACACCCTCAGTTCGTTCCCCCTCATCGCCATCAACGTCGTCCAAGACGCCACATCTTTGCCCAAGCTGGCCAGTCGACTGGCCGCGGCCGTCCCACCCATTCTCCTCGGATATGCAGTCAACGACCTCAGCACCGTTGTGCATGTTTCGGGGGTGTTTGGGGTCTACCTCGTCCTCATCGGCCCCGCACTCTTGCAGTGGACGTCCCTCGCCTCCGACCCCGAGCCCACGAGATATGCATGCATGCTTAGCCACATCGGATGGGTCTATCTTGTCCTTGTCACAGGCGCCGCCGCGGTTGTCATCTTGGCGGCTCAGGTCGTCTCGTAGCTAGGGTTGAAAGTCAGTCACTTATGAAGCCGTGATCTATACAATATCGACTTGAGAGCGGATAGTTTGAGCTGTACAGTTGCTTTGAGCGAGATTTTGATGTTGAATCGGAGTCTCGGATTACAGCTGTAGTACTCGTGAAGTCAACACTGTACATGTCCTCGTACTACTACAGTAACGTTGTAGGACGCTTTGTGATAACAAGTGTCCTTTTGAAACGATGTGCCAACTACTGCTAAACCACCAAGGGTCATTAGGGTTGACTCTGGCCTACTTCCACCACTTCATCGTCATCCACGGCGGCCGCTATGCGTTCGACGGGTTGGCCACACTCGACGTCTGCGTTCAGTTCGTCGTGCCCTGCACACGAGCGTCCGAGCTGTCCTTGGTGGTCCGTCAAAGACTTGTAAAACCTGCCTGAGTGGCTAATCATTAAGCCATGCGTGTCGTACAAGTTTGTGGATGTCGTCGAGCCATCGACAACTTTTGCGACGAACAAGGGCTCGGCCACAACACGTCGTTTTGGTTTTGTATGTTGCCAACAAACAGCACACGATTGGCAGTACGTCCGAGATGATGCAGCGGTGGCTAGCGGTCTGTGATGGTAGCGGGACCCCGAGGCCCTCAAGCGCACATGGTGCGTGTACGAAGTGTACTCGTCCATTCTACTAATCGCTGTGAAGTGGCCACGCCCAAGCGCAAAAATCCGTGTTTCTGAACGACGTAGCGCACGAACAATGTGCTGCAAATGATGGGCCAAGCCAAGTCAGGTTTGCCGACTTGGGTCTCAATGAGGTATGAAAATGTTACACTTGGGCCCAAGTGTTGCCGCAAAAGTCGATGATTCGGACCGACCTACCCACGTTCCGTCGCCGCGCAAAGCAACGTCGCCATCTGCGACATCGCTCAATGGCATTACGAGGCCGCAGAAGCCACTTTGAAGCGCCGCAAGCTATATAACTACTGGTGCCACACGGTGTTAGCGCTGCTCAATCTTGGCAGGGCGCGACGGCTTCGGAGCAAATTCGACCTCGTCGAGGCGAACCTGTCCCGTTGCATCGAAACTTTACCACGACATGGACAACCCGGAATTGGTGTATCGAAGTACAACCAATCAGGCAATATGCGTTAATCCACCAGCCATTTACGAACGCATCGCCGTTTGTATCCTAAAATGGATGGATCGGCAACTTTGCCGCTGGTTTCCCTAAATAGACCCCATCTCCAACAATTCGAACCCCCCATGATGTCAGCATCCACTTTTTTCCTATTCGCAACAAGACACACCAAGGCCAAACACTACAATGAAGCTCTTTCTCGCGTGCTTGAGTATGTTGCTCAACGTTGGACATCCAACCTCGATCACGGTGTCCACCTTGGCAGGGGGCACGGGGGAAGGCAAAAGCTATAAAGACGGTACCGGCGCTGCAGCTACATTTGCCTACCCCCTCGACCTACTTGTCACTCCTGACGGAAACATCCTTGTCACCGACCCCTTTGCATCCGTCGTGCGTCAGGTATCAGCGTCGGGGGTGGTTACTACGATTGCGTACCCTGGTATCGGAACAGCACCTGTGGGGATTTGTCGCGACGACCAATCTGGGGCACTATTCGTGGTCGACAAAGCAGGGCCAGTCTATCGGTTCACACCGTCTGGCTCAGTGATCACTATCGACACTGCCATTGTCATTGCTGCCGGCCGTTTGGATAGCGCTATCCTCTGCGCAGCTTCCAGTTCGGCACTCTTTGTGACTCTGGATTCGGGAACGAGTATTTACAAGCTGGACCGCGCCACAGGTCTACTGTCGACGCTTCCTGCCAAACTACCCTCCGATTCGAACACGGGGGGCATCGTGCTTGGCCCTCATGGGACCCTTTTTGTTGCACAGGGCAATACCGTTCAAAAGATCGCCGCCAACTTCTCAACCATGCAAGTCTTTGCCCAGTCGACTTTGTGGGGCCATGCCAAAGCGTGTACTCTGACCTACGATGGATTCAACGACATATTGTACGTCACCGATGTGAAGAACGGTATTTTTCAAGTCGACAGCACCGGGGCCGTCACCCCTTGGATGGGGCAGCTCGGCTCTGGCTTTGTCGATGGGGATGTGTCCGTAGCAAAATTCAACGGCCCAAGCGCCATCGCGTTGTTCCGGGATCCTCAAAACTCCACCGCGAACCAGTTTACGGCGTACATTACGGATTCAGACAACTACGCCATTCGAAAGGTCGTCGTGGATACAACGACACTTCCGCCCACGCCAACCCCGACGAAAAGTGCTGCAAGACCAACCACTTTCCAGAGCTACTTGGTTGCGCTCCCTCTCATAGTTTGGATGGTCTGCTGAAATACAGTATGATGCATTGTTCCCTGACAGCTTAACCATCGAAAACGAAATACAACTAGCAAATCAGACCACTAGGTTTTAGTGTTCGAACCCATTTACAATAGTGAAAATTCGATTTGAAGCTCTTCCTCATGTGCTAGCGTCTGTGCAGCCTGCCTCAATCACGGTCTCAACCTTGGCGGGGGTCACGGGGGATGGTAACACGAATCAGGACGGAGCGGCGGCGAAGTTAACATGTCCCCTCGATCTAGCGTTACTCGCGACATCCCATGGAAGCGCTCTCGTCACCGACTACGATATATTGGGGCGTGCGTCAGATTTCTGCTTCGGGGGCTGTCTTTACGATTATGTACATGTGCTGGTGCGTTTCGGGGTTTCAGACCTGCGTCATCTTGGCGTGGTTCCGCGTCCAATCGAAAAATACTCATCACTGGCCGACGTCGACACGTTTCTCTCCAAATTCCGCGCCGCCAGCTCCATGAACGCCAGTGGAGAAACTGGAAGTGCCTCGCGTGCGTTACACACGTTCTAATGTTACTACCGTATAGTGTATATGCATTGCGACGGATTAATCGATTGCGACTCCTGTAATAACTGATAATTTTCTTGTAATAACTGATATTTACTTGTGAACATGTTGAATATACTTCAAATTTGTATGACGCAATGGATTAACAAAATTTTGAGAACGAGTGTCGGCTGGTTGTGAAATATCACCTGTCGCAATACATATACACTATACGGTACCGGTAGTACGAGAGGATGACTCGAGTTTCGTTGATGCTTCTACCAGTAGTTTCTGTCACATAATAATGGTTGGGGTGCCTTCTGAGGTTTCGGGGTTTAAACTTTGAAAGTGTAAATGCACCATACTGGTACTGTAGTAGTACCTACGATAAACGGGAATTCACAGTCAACAAACTACATTTGAATCGGAGCCGACAAATTTTTATTACATCCTGAAACCTCACTTAACAATACTGGTAGCAAGGAATACCGATATGTAGTATCCGATTCGCCAATATTCTTTGTGTTGTCTACCAATCACAGGGCAGTGTTCAAACTTCCACCAATCAACTGATCGGTAGTCATTCTTTTCGACCAATCATACTTCAATAAGTACAGCAACGTGTGGTTCAATCCTTTTCGACAATCTAAAGCGGCAACTCGAAGGTCACGTTCACATGCACTTCTTCGGCTTGCGTGACAATGTCGGCGATCTTGACGGCCTTCTGGGCGGCGTCGTCCAAGTCGTTGGCGACAATCATGCGGAAGCCAGAGTTCTCGATGAGGGCGCGGGCCTTCTCCACGTTGGTTCCCTGCAGTCGGATCACAATGGGCTTCTTCATGCCGAGGTCCTTCACGGCGGCGATGATTCCCGCGGCGATCACGTCGCAGCGCATGATGCCTCCGAAGATGTTGACCAAGATGGACTTGACCTGGGTGTCCGCGTTCAGAATCTCAAACGCCTTCTTCACCTGGGCTTCGGTGGCGCCCCCGCCGACGTCCAAAAAGTTGGCGGGCGACCCGCCGAACAGCTGGATGATGTCCATGGTGGCCATGGCGAGACCGGCGCCGTTCACGAGGCACCCGATGTTGCCGTCCAGCCCAATGTAGTTAAGATCGTACGCGCTGGCTTCGACTTCGCGCGCGTCTTCCTGGGTCTTGTCGCGCTGGGCAAAGATCTCGGCTTGGCGGAAGGCGGCGTTGTCGTCGAAGTTGATCTTGGCGTCGCACGCAAACACTTGGCCGTCGGGGGTTTCGGCCAACGGGTTGATTTCCACTTGGGTCGCGTCCACGCCGATGAACATCTTGTACAAGTTGCCCAAGAGTTCCACGCCGCGGGAGAGGGGGGCGCCTTCCAAGCCCATGTTGGACGCGAGGCGGGTCAGCTGTTCGTTGGTGGGACCGGTCATGATGTCGATGTTTTCCTTGAAGATGAGTTCGGGCGTGTTGTGCGCCACGTCTTCGATCGAGGTCCCGCCGGCGGGGGAACCCACCAACACCGGGCCTTGCGACGCGCGGTCCATGAGGATGCTAAAGTACATTTCGCGACGCAAGTACACACGTTCCATGAGGAACACCTTGGCCACTTCAATACCCTTTTCGCCGGTTTGCTTGGTGACGAGGGTTTCACCAATCATCTTTTGCGCAAAGTTCTTGGCGTCTTCAGCCTTGGTGCACATGTGCACACCGCCTTTGAAGCCGTTCTTGAAGTGACCGAGACCGCGACCACCGGTCAACGCTTGCGCCTTGATCACGACGTCCTTGGACTCGTCGCCTCCCTTGAGCTTGTTGTACACTTGCACGGCTTCCTCGGGGGTGTTGGCCGCTTCGGAGGCAGGGATCGCGACGCCGTAGGATTGCATGATCTTCATGGATTGGTACTCATGCAAGTTGAGGCGGCGGACTTGCTGTCCCGTTGGGCGGAGCAGCGGCGTGGCCTTGATGATCGAGCGCAACATGAGATAGGTGGGGGAAACCAAGCAATCGCGGAATGAAATGACGTGAGGTGCTCAACACTGGTCACGAATCCCGCCAATCAAAACAAGGCTCGTTGACCTATTTAGGGAATGTCCTTCCCTATTTTGAACCTAATTAGGCTTTCACCCACCCCTACTTCCGACCACAAATAACGTTTAACGTTAATCATAATATACCCCTATTTCAGACCACAAATAACGTTTAATCATAATATACGTTTAAACAATTAACATAATTCCAACCAGTGGACTTTCATCAGTTCAAAGCCTGACATCGCACCGGCGGCGTCAGCTGCTCAAATGGAGAACATGCCATCCAAGCAATGACGAAACGCAACTACTTAACTGGGGGTCGCGCCTTGGAGCAATCGTTTTCAGAGTTTAACCATGCAATTGCTAGGGTTGAAACGTGTTTTGAATCGGACCTTTCATTGGTTGAATCAACCTATTACCGCTACCACGAACCCTACCCTGGTCACGTAAATAACAAATGACGACCAGTTTATGACCATGCATTGTTATTGAAATTTCAAGGGACCGAGGTACAGTACACCTTCACTTTACTTGGCTTCGCGACCACGCTCTTCGCCAACCTTGCCGACTATCCACTCCATACCTTCTTGCAACCCTTCTCCCGTCTTGGCCGAGCACGCTTGGATTTGGTACGGTCGGTTGCGGATGGAGCTGAGGTTCAATGCCGTTGAAATCTACCCACAGGTCAGCACAATATACAGCCTGATCAACAAACCTCCGAGGCGGGCAATGCATTGAGCAAGTCTTGCTTGTTGGCAAACACGAGCAAACAAGCCGCACTGAGCTTCTCCTCTTCCAACAGCGCGTTCAGCTCGATGCCCGTTTCCTCCAAGCGGCGGCGGTCTGCGCTGTCAATCACGTAAATCAACGCGTCCGTTTGTTCGTAGTAGTTCCGCCAGTACGGGCGAATAGTCTTTTGCCCGCCAATGTCCCACATGTTGAGCTTAAACCCGTCCACTTGGAGACTCTTGACGTTGAATCCCTGCGTGGGCATGATGTGACTGATGTCTTCTTCGGACAGCTTCTTCAGGATCGTAGTCTTGCCGCCGTTGTCCAGGCCCAGCACCAAGATGCGCGCTTCCGAGTCATCTTTCTTGAGCTTGCGGAGGAGCGTGAGCAGACCCATGTGATCGAACGAGCCCAAGTTGAACTATGTGCGGTCACCACAAGTCGGCGGTTGAAGCCAACCCCAATCCTTCTTGGTCGATACAAACATCCAGTCAGCAAAATCGACGGTAAACGGTCGCGACGTTTCGGCGGAGTTCCGGATAAAGATCCAACCTATCCGGAATTCGAACCACTGGTGTTGAAACTTCGAACATCAAACATGCGAGGGAACAACAACGTGGGCAAGGCCATGATGGCGGTCGTGTTCGGACTTGGGGGTGCTTATGCGGGCTTTCTGGTGCAGCACCGGTACTTGGAAGAGCAAAAGGTGGCCAAGCGAGTGGAAGAAGAGGCCCAGCGCCGCTTCCATCAGTCCGCACGGCTTGCATCAGTCGCCGTGGAATAAGAAGGGATGTTGTCCGAGTTAGATAAAGAATGGGTTTGTATCCTAGTGCACACGTCGTTCTATCTGGTGCGCTGCTTCTTCTGTGCTTTGTTGTTACCGCCCTTCTTCTTGGCATTGTGGTTGCCGCCCTTCTTCGCACCGTTTGCTTTGCCCTTCTTGTTGCTTCCATCTTCGTTGTCCGAGTCCAGTTGGTCGTGCGCAGCATTCCACACTTCCTCATCCTCGTTCGCGACATCGTCGTCCTTGTCAAAGTCCTTGAGCTTGGCGCCCATCATGTAGTCGTCTTGGACCACCGACCAGTTGGACTTGTCTTCTCCTTCGCTGCCGTCCTCCGGTTGCGCGGCTTCCTTGTGCTTGCCTTGTTGCTTCAACAGGCCCAAGAACGAATCCTTGCTCAGTGACTTGATCTGTTTCGACCTACCACATCATCCACGAATGAGTCCCATGTTCCTTCCTGTAATAATGATGCCAAGTGTACCCATCTTGCTGCTGTTGGCCGTGCTGGTGCTTGGCGATGGCGTTGAAGAAAGCCACGACGCCCTTGGTCGCAATCCCGCGCAGAGCCTTGTCCTGGGCCATGGTCAAGTGACTGGGAATCACCATGTCCTTCTCTTCCCGCGCCCGCTTCTCCTTGGCACTCAGCTTGGATGCATTGGTCGTGGACTTGTCCTTGGAGATCTCGCGCATCTGCGATGTCACGCGCTTGGCCAAGATCGGCGCCTTCTCTTCTTCCACGTTCTGGTTCAACACTTTGCTCATGGCGTCGGCAAACCCCACCGCTCCTTCTTCTTCGTCCCCATCATCATTGTCTTCGTCAAAGTTGTCGTCCGCCGGCAACACATCATCGTCATCATCGTCGTCATCTCCATCGGCATCGCTTCCATCGTCGTCATCGTCGTCGTCGTTCTCATGCTCTTCCTCTTCACCTTCGTCCGATTCGTCATTGGATGCTTCGGGCTCAGTGGGCGTCTTCTTCGGCATCGTCACAACAGGGGCGGCGGCGGTGGCCTTGCCGGTGGCATGCTTGGCCTTGAGCGTCAACTTCATCACGGCGGCGGGTATGTTGGATGGCAACTTCAATCATTGGTTGGCTGATTCGAATTATCCAGATAATTGGCCCCGTATCCGGACATTCCTCCCCACCACTTATCTTGGTCACAATTGGATTTCCATCCTCATATCCCAGTGACGAATTGTCGTGAGATCACATCGTTCCACAACGGCGCACCGTCGTTGCATCTACATGTGGGAGCTTGTCTTAGACATGCCATGTCCGGTCAATCTTCTCTCTGAGGGATAGATAGCCCCATGGAGAAGCATTGCAGTAGCGAGAAGTATGCATTGATCCTTGGCGTGTGGGTGTATGAGACCTCCCATCCTCCATGGGAGTGCTGCCATCCCTTTGGTTTTCATTGCGGATGGTACATTCTTTCCCCCACGTGCCATAGACTAAAAACCCAGCGTCATAGTACGCGAGAGCTCGGCCTCGTTGCCAAAGTACCGTTCTCGTGTCTCCATCAGCTTTGACATTACCATACTATCAACGTCCATTAAGTCGTAGAAGGAAGCAGGGCGGAAGGTTGGCGAATCACCGACTTCTGGGCCAACACATGCTGACGAAGGGCAGTATGCTTGGCTTGGACCGCATCGAAATGCGCCAGTAGGGTAGGCACCGACACGCCGACAACGCCCTCCTTCTTCTCGGTGCTGGTGGCAGGCGACGCCGGAGGTGGCGGGGGGGGTTGGTACTGGGGTCGAGAGATGGCCATCGCCATGGAGGTCACACTGGCCAGTCGGTCGCGCAACGTCCGAAACGCCGAGCTCTACCATACCAAGTCATTCGAATTCGATCCATGTAATGTACCTGTGGCAAGAGCATGAGGAGGCCGTACATGCTCTTCATGAGATTGACATGGTACGTCGCGTGAGTTTCCAGCAATTGCAGGCGCAGTTGGATGAAGATGGGAGACTCGAGCAACTGCACGAGCTTGTCAATTTGCATCAAAAACCCCACGGACGCGTCGATTTCGCTGGTGCAGCATTCGTTCGGTTAATGAAACCATGAAAGCATAGAAAAAAAATATATATATATATATCACACGGTGAAAAGGATATAATTTCAACACGAGCGCACTCGACAGCTCGTACGACTGGGCCAGCAAACACAGGCTGAACGTGGACACGGGGTTGTGGCACCACGTCTTGTACAGCGTCTACACGTTGCTCCAGAACTATTGCAGCAACTGGAGTAGAAATAGCCACGTACCGTAAACACGTCGACGTCGTCCTTGGACGCTTTCGGCTCAAAACTGCGTCGCAGCACCGCCCGCAAGTGTTCCTTTATAAGAATATATATTTAATATATATATAATTCAGGAATGAGTACCAGTTCGTTGGCCGTAAGCAAGATCAGGTTGAGCGTGTGCACCATCAGTGACACGTAGTCCAGGTCTTCGTGGGAGCTCAACACCGTCGCAAACACCATGTAAATGCTCTTGGCGTCCAACAGAGTACACAGTTTGCGCACAATCAGGGACCCTCGCTTTTCCTGCAACAACAATAATCCCTCGGTTAGAAATAATATTATATATATATATATATATATATATATATATATATATACCAAGAGGCGGGCGTCGGTGGCAAAGAGCTGGATCACGGCTTGGAGCACTTTGGAAAACTCGAGCTGGGTCAAGTTGGTGCTCAGGCGCGCGAGCACTTCCAAGTTGAGCGACACCACTTGGTCCGACGTGTCACTAAACCGAGGGATGTATCCATCTTGCACTCGTGGTTCCGTAAATATATATAGATGTATTCATGTACCTGAGGGTTTTCAGCAACGTCGGCAGCAACGCACTCAGTTGGGAGCTCAGTTGCGTCGGCTTCTTCTCCAACAACATGGAGATCCACGTAAGCGACGCCAGCCGCGTCGGGATGTACGTGCTGACCAGTTCCACGTTCAACTTGGCGATCAGCGGCAAAAAGTCCACGTCACCTCTACACATGTCGTTAAACCGAGGGAGATTCGTGGAGTTCTTACGTGGTGGCTTTAACCAGCGCCAGCAAGTCGGCGTTGGCCCGTTCGCCGACCAGCCGGATCTCGCCTTCCGCGTCGGAAATGCACGTCAAGATCGCCCCCAGCAGCTCGGCGTAGAAGCGAACGAGGCGCTCCTTCCCCAGCACGACGAAGTCCAGCACCCACGTCGCCGCCGTTAGCCGCGTGAACCGCTCCTTGGACTGGCACTGCGCCACGAGGATGTGCACCATGGGCCCCAGATCCACGAATGGCGTCGACTTGATCTCCCGGAGGAACTCGCTCAAGGCGCTGTCTGCCGCCTACAACCATCGATGCATATTAATGGAATGCCCATGGGAAAATCAAGGGAACCGACCTGTCGGATTTCGCGGTTGCCGTCGCTGAGCATGTTGAAGAGGCCGTCGAGAAAGTCGGGAAGGTAGTCCAGCATCTCGATGTCCGGGACAGAGTCGAGGACGGTGATCCAGCCCACAATCAGCTGGCGGATGTACGGGTTGGACTTGCGGATGTTGTTCTGCAGCAACGGAATGAACATGTCCACGTCGAACACTTCGCTCTCGGTGACAATGTCCTTGACCAGTCGATCGAGCAAGTGCGCACCGTTCTTCACGTCCGTGTCCACATCAGCAAAAAGTTTGCACAACCTAAAGAGAAACACGACCGTGAGAAAGGGCAGACATGAGAAAGGACACACCCGTCGAAGATCTGGTTAAAGTACTTGAGGATAGCGCCACGAGCGACCTTGACGATGTTGTACAAGCTCTCGCATGCGTAGTACCTACACACAACATGTAAGATGCATGCAGACTTGTGAGGAAGTACTCACCGGACTCGGGCTTCCGTGTCGTCAAAGCAGTGCAACACAGGGGGGATGAGCGCATCCAGGTACAGTTCGGCATTATGCATAAGTCCAATCGCCGTCCCCGCCAGTCCAATGAGTCCCCCCTTGCGGAAGTTCGCATTCACGGACCGCGTAAACTTCTTCTCCAACAAGTCAATCACCACCGGAATCGCATCTTTGTCTGCCGGCGCCTTGCTCTCCGCGAGTTGCTTCACGAGGTTCTCCACTTCCAGAGCAGCCCCTTTGCGCTTCTCATACTGTCGGTCTCCTAGGCGTTGCTGCAGGTTCTGCGACAGCGGCACGACGAACTCCCGCTCGGACGTAGACGACGTGGTCACGGCGCCAGATTCTGCCATGTTTTCGTTGTCAAATGTGCGGGTTGTACAAATTGAAGAACGCCCGCTCCGGATACATATTTCCCCCATCATCCGGATACCAGGTTTTTTGGTGATCGACCATGAAATAGTGTTAGGCACAAGCAGCAACCCACGTCACACCAGTAGATCAGGACCATGGCATCTCATTGTCCTGCACTTACTTCATCGCTTCGATGGACATGCAAGGGCATGCATTGACGCGATTTATGGCCCAGCATCCCCTTCAAAGGAGCACTGGAAAGAATTGCATTACTCCTAATTAGGATAAATATCCTATTTTCGAGATTTATCCCAAGGAGGCGTATATTTCCAGCGACGTGATTGGTTAAAACAGATTGGTTTAATTGGTTGGCCCACCCTGGGCCATTTCGTGGTGCAGTGCGCTTCATGTTATTTGCCAATTAAGAGCTAAACATGGTCAAGCAAAAGCATCATACCGCCCGCAACCAAACTTTCAAGGCCCACAAGAACGGGATCCGCAAGCCCAAAGACCACCGTTACAAGTCGACCAAGGGCGTACGTCCTAGCTTCTCTCATGCGACGTCTCTCTTATCACATGTCCCTCTGTAGTTGGACCCCAAGTTCTTGCGCAACCAACGTTTCGCCAAGAAGTACAACAAGAAGAACCCTGTTGCTGCTGTCAAGGTAGCACGTTCCCTGTCTTCAACGACACGACCATGACATTGTGTTGTAGGCGGAGTAAAGAAGTTGGCTTCTGTACCTACCCCGACGCCCTTCCTTCGTTGTAGGACCAGTATAGTCACGATGCAGGATGGTATGGCGTGTTGTAATGACAACAGAATATGCTTGACCTCTTACCCCCCCTTTCGATGTTGTTGCTGAGTTGTTCGTAGACGAAGCAGCGGCGGTGTCTCGGACGAACGATGATGATGATGTGGAGGGTGGCTGAATGGGGAAAGTGACGATTGACCAAATCAACCTTATCTACATTTTCTGAGATTTATTGAAGAGAGTGACTTTCCGATTCCCCATTCCACTCCCCACGATCATCCAGAGTCCAGTGCCGTCCTGCTTCGGTAGCTAGGTCGTTAGAATGAAATTAACCCCATATAAACGATTATAATTACTCAAAATGCCATCTTAAGTTGGTTTCGTTGACCCCACAGGCCAGCATAGCTCTTGTCGGTTTCGACCGCATTCAATTGTAAGCTCTACTGTACCTACAGTCAACTACTCCGAGTATAAAAGAAGAAGGCGATACACTTGGTGAAAATTCCGGTGTGGTACATTATGTCCACTGTATACTGTAGTACTACTGTACCGGTAGTATGGAGATGTTTTAACACGAATTATAACCTGGTACTGTGGATTTGTAATATTCCTTGTAAATTCATTCATTGGTGGAATAATAATGCCAGTAAACTATAATTAGCCCAAGGAAGACACAATTCCATATGCGACGAAGAAGAGCGGAACGAGGCGGTGTCCCATGCGGTCGGTCCAGTTGGTCGTGATTGGCTGCTTGAAGTTGCAATTTCGACGAAAGATGCGTCGATTGTCGAAGGCAACAAGATGTGCGAAAATTTCAACTCAAATCTCAACATGAACGACAAGCCCATGGGTGGTACCAGTCGCCGAGCTCTGTGCCAGCACAACGGCTGCGCCAAGTTTGCCCAAACCCGCGGCCTTTGCAAAGGTACTGCACCTATTCCGTTCCTATTCCGTTCCAGTTCGCTCACTACTTTTTAGCCCACGGCGGGGGCACTCGGTGCAAAGTGGCGGCGTGCACCAAACTCGCCCAGAGCAGGGGGCACTGCATTGCGCACGGGGGAGGCAGGAAGTGCCAAGTCGACGAGTGCGAAAAGCTGGCTCAAAGCAAGGGCTACTGTATCGCGCACGGCGGCGGCCGCAAGTGCGGTACAACCCACCCCCCAATCCCTCCCTGGTATTTTACTTTCGAGTAGCCGTCGACGGATGCGAAAAGTTTTCCCAAATCAAGGGCAAATGTAAGGCCCACGCCAAGAAGTCGACGGACGGGACTCCCCTGCCGCATGTCAAAGTGCTGGCTCTGTCCACGTCGCCACCCATCAGCCTCAGCCCCCTGCGGAAGTACGTCCGGAAAGCAGAGCCCACCACGTGCAGCTTTGCCGCCTTATTTACCCCCCTCAATACACCCACCAACAACGCATAGGGAGTGTTTTATTTATAGAAAAACGTATCGATGTACTAACGAGTAACCATGCAACCCCAAACACAAACGAACTGTAAACGAGTATGCACCGAACCCCGAAACCCCGGATGTCCATATTATGCCGATATTATAGAGGTGTTTAGCAAGTTTTATGCTTTTGGCCCAAATTTGACAATTTTGGGGGATTGTTGAAATCACCAAGATATCGAGCAGAGCAGTTTGATTCGATAAAAGGAGCTACGACGAGAGAAAACTCCCAAAATACTACCTCATATATTCGATATATACTTCATATTTCGTAGGTCCGGCGATTTCATTCAGCCGGAGGAAGTTATGTGGAAGTACTTAAGACTTACGGGACAGCATTGAATATTAATACCAACCTTGGATACTATGGTTAATATAATATAATTGTTGAATTAAACGTGTGGATGACATGTGGATGAAATTTGGATGACATTGGATGAAACTGGATGAAGTTGTGGGATGAAACCTAAAGTAGGGACCAAGCCGTACGTTGGCCCCGAGCGCCCGGGAGGCCGTCTGCGCAAGCGCGGCCGTACGAGAGCGCGGATCTAAGCATCTCACTTCACCGAATGATCTATCTTTTCTTCTTGTCGGGCAGCGGCAGGTAGGCCGTAGGCCGTGCCGCTCCCGGACGAGGCCTGTATGCAATGACCTAGCATAATCCTAATTTACTCTCATCTCTACTAATTAGGATATGACCTAATATTAATGTTGGATGACGTTTGGATGACACATGATACTATCACGGATATTTGAAATCCATATAAATAATTACTATTATTACTGTAATACGTAGAACACACAATAATATTGTGGATTCGATACTATGAATTTCCAGACCCCGTCAAATCGAATCGACGCTATTGGCTAATCCATTTTTGAGTGGATTTCATTGGCTCTTGCAGAAAAAAGGACAAGTATATTCAACCAATCACAACTCCAGCATTGATTCAATAAACCAGGCGAATTTTGCAAGTTTATTTCGAATTCACAATACCTTGTACATTAACCTCATGCGTAGTGTAGACTAGCTTACCGAGTACTACGGACCACTACGACTAATCCCATCACACCGAGCCCTCAAAAACCAAGACTTCAACCGTGTGCGGTCGATACTGGTTTAAATTACGTGCACACGGACGAGCACACGGCCGCGGTGAAGTCGCTTCCGACGGGAGCGCTGACGTTGCGGCCTCCGGGGCATGTGACGATAAGGGTGCCGTTGGTGAACTTGTGGCCGTAGCACTGGCCTCCAGACGTGTCGCAGCTCCACCACGGGGCCGGCACGCAGTCCAGGTACTTGCACCACGAGCACGCCTTGGACGCGTCCGACTAGTGTATAAATGATGATTCATTTATCCCCTTTAATAGATAAAACGTACATGAGTAGCCAGCAAGATGATAAACAGCAGCGCGAATAAAAAGGTAAATGTGCCGCCAATCTTGCCCAGGAGTCGCTGTCTGGGCGACCGGGTGTTCAATAAGCGATCTTGGCGGTTCGTTGGGAGACTCAGCATGGCAAACCCCATACCCAACCCCGTCTAAATTGAAACGAAGATAAATAATAGTTGAATCTGCAATATGATAAATAATAGTTGAATCTTCTGAAATCACGTACGATAAAGCCGGACAGGTGGGCAAAGTTGTTGACATACGGCAACAGCCCAATGGCCAGGTTGACAATGGCCACGACCACCAAGTTTGTCTATTTACATCGAAATATGAGCCAAATAAAATAGCAAAAAGAGTTAAATAATCGCACCATGTGGCAAATGCGGTTGGCATACAGGGCCCAATTCAGGATAAATTCAGCAAATGTGGCCCCAAAAAGCCCAAAAATTGCCCCGGATGCGCCCACGCCCACCTAAAAAGTATCACTTTTAGTATCACTTTTCAAATATGGATGTATATTTCTTACCACATCCGGAACGAACACCGCCGAGCAAATGGCTCCGACGATGCCCGAGGTAAAGTAGATGAAGACAATGCGGCGGCGATCGAACGCGTTTTCTAATTCCACGCCCAACTGGTACAAGCCCAGCATATTGAAGAACAAGTGCAGCCTAATGCAAGATGAGGAAGGTTCGACGGGAGGAAGATGGACGACATACAAGCCTGCATGCAGAAACATAGCCGTGATCAAGCGCCACCATTCGCCATCGAAGATCAAGTCGGAGCGCTGGGCTCCCATTTGCAGAAGCACCGTCGCCGTCGGTCCAAGCAGCGGGTTCAGTTTCATATCCTCGAACGCCCACCCGTTCTCGCCGCTACACAGACATTGAGGATAACGGAGGTCAACATGGAAGAGGAGAGAGCTTACATTTCCACGACGAACAACACGACATTCACAAAGATCATGAAGAGGATGAACTTGAACTGGGGCAAGAACTTGGTCGGTGGTTTGGCCATCCCCTCCACGTCGCCTGTGTTTACGTTGGTTCGAGCGCCTTCCTCGATCACGATGGGTCCATCTTCCGACGGGGAATGTTGCTGCGCAGGTTGATGCGGAGTTTGGTTGGGCTGGTATCTCCCAGCTCTGCTCGGACTTGCCATGGCCTCCGCAATGGTTTTGAATGTGCAGTAGAGAGTCAAGCGTACCGGATACCTATTATCCGGACGATTTGAAACGACTTGGTCTGGAGAATTTCGCAACTGTCCCACGGCTATAAATAGGACACCAATTGACGCATTTGATTCGCTAATTCATTATATTATAGCGAATCAGCATCGTTCTACCAAAATAATACGCAGACACTGCAACAGTGAAATCGCAACGCTTCCACTGTTGCTTACGTAATCATTTCCCTTGCAGCCCTATAACCTCGGAACCCCCGGACCCCCTGTGTTGCTGTTCCGGAGGTTAAGTTGCATCTCCAGTGGTTAGCTATCACTAACCACTGAAATGCACTTCCAGTAACCCCAAGCTACAAGAATAATGTGTGGTTTTGGTTTACTTTGCATATTGACTATGACATAATACGAACAAGTGAAAGGATGACGTGGGCAACAGAGGAATTGTTGCTCCCATGGAATTGCAGTTCTACTAATCATATCGTAAAGACGTTATAACACGTGCAACCCTGTCAATACAATAACGTTACATAAAGTGGAAGGGGAGGGTTCGGACTCGACCCTACTACTAACTACGTAGTAACTACCGATGCCAAGGACCTGAGGAAACCTGGGACTATGTACTGATCCAGCGATCATGAATGTTTTCTTGTCCTACTTAGATCAAGTGTAAATTGTTCTAGAAGTAGACGTGCTCCCAACTGAGCCAAAAGAACCGGTCAATCTGAACATGAGACTTTGTACCTACAACTATACTCCACGGAGTACTGTACTCTCGACTCATAAGACATTCCTTTCGGCTTTATATTCGCGTGATACAGTGTACGATACACAAAGCACTTACGAAGTATTCTTTAACGCTGACAAATTGCTCGCGCTATAGCACGTCGAGTTTTGTCACCTTACAAGCGCCCCAAAAACGTCCAAGTTCACCACATGGTCAGCTTTGTCGGAATGAATTCCAACCTGATTCTGTGTTATCCGAAATTATCCGTACTTGTCGCACATCAAGTATCCGGATGAGACGCCCCGTCTTTGCAATATCCGGATGATTTCTACACGGCAATTGCGCGACGGTAGTAACGCCAAAGTTGCCAATGCAGCCCACCGTTGGCAGGTCCAGCGCACTCCAACGAGGATTGGAAGAGGAAGCGAAGAATGGATGGGTGACCATCCTGCTCGTGGGCGTGGGGGCCGCTCTTGTGGTCGGGATCGTCGTGGTCTTCTACTTCAAGCGATGCCAGCGACGCAAGGCGCCCCAGTTTGAAGACTTTGTGGACCCGTATGCCCAGGACGACACCATTCACAACCCCCAGCCGGGAAAGGCTCCAGTGGTGGTCGAAGGTACACATGCATCTGGGTTCCACCAATTGGCGTTCCAGCACGACCTAGACAACAATTCGCTGCACCCGTCCGCGGCACCTTCTACGCAATTACCTCGCCCGCCGGCGTCGTCCACACACCACCACCGACAGACATCCGGCGTCGCCCTTCTAGAAGAGAACGACGTCATGCCTGCCGCTCCATTCAGTGCTCCTCTGTCATCCAGGCGTGTCGTGTCCAACCTCGCAGCAGCACCCCGTCCGCCTCCGACCGGTCGATCCGTTTCAGCTGTCGTGGTTGATCGCTTTGAACCTTCCGTGGTTGCTCAGCAACGCATCGAAGACTTTCGCCCGCCCAAGCGACCCAAAAAGCCCACGTCCAAGGCGTCCGTGCACACTGGCCAGACCGCGGCGGAATCCCGCGCCGCCAAGAAAGCGGCGCTGATTTCTCAATTAGGCGGAACCGGCATGGCCAACAACATGAAAATGATCCAATCCACGTGGCAAGCTGCCAAAGCAGCACCTGGTGACGCCCCCGCCAAGCCCGACGTCATCACGTTCCTTCCATCATCCTCCACATTTAGACACCAACTTCCCAGTACTTCTCAAACCTCCTCGTCCCAAGACCAGCAGTACAACACCGATGCAAACCAACCCCACGACACATTGCCATTGGGCGCGGAAGCGGGGTCCTATGGCCGCCGTAAGAAGCCCGAGTCCTACGAACAAGATGACGCGGCGTACGTGACAGACGCGAATCACCCAGACGATACGCTGCCACTCGGTGCCGAAGCGGGAACGTATCAGCAAAAGGCCGAGTTGCTCCAGAAGTTGCAGGCGCCACCCCCACCAACGAAAACCAATACTCCAACCAGCCACTCAGACTACTACCGGCCGTTCGAAGACAACGCCGCGTACGAAACGTCCCAAGCGTACGACTCGATGCCCCTCGGCGCCGAAGCTGGGCAATACCACCAGTTCCTCCAGAATCAGAAAAAGACCCTCCAAATTCAACACTTGGGCCGGTGATCATAGTACCTCCAAAAATGAATTAACAGTATCACACATTTGAGACGTATTTTATGCTTCTCAATTGTCTTCGGAGCTTATTGGTCCTTTCGGAAGAACGCTAGCAATAAACAGTTAATATGACCATTGTAACAGGTTCATATTCTCGCTAACGTTAACAATAAACCGATGTTGCTAAGATTGTTTGTGTCACATACTTACTGTATTTCTGTAGTACATGGTTGGTTCCACATCTAATAAACGCAGTTTTCATTCTAACGTTATGCATACTTAACGTTAGTAAAAAATAGGTACTGATCTCAGAACCATTCTCTCACAATATGGATACACATAGAATACAGAAACCTCCTCTGCAATGTAAACTTGACTGTGGGCAGTTTTTTGGCTCAGATAGCACATGCGGATTGTATCCGGATTTTGTGACCTCTGGGCACTTATTTATTTATACAATATTTTGAATTCGGCTTATTTCTTGCAAATCCCAATCGTTCTTTCCTTCGAAAGATCCGATATTTATCCGGACACGAGGAACGGTATACTAAATCCAAGTACAGATGGAATTCGAACAACCGGCATGTCGAGTTCGAAAATCTTGGTAGAGGCGTTTCATTGGTCGACGCCAAAACACTTTTGAATTCGATGTCAGCCGCTTACGCAGGACGAAAGACGGGGAAGCCGGGCGCGGCGACGGGCGCGGCGGCCAAGAACAAGAAGTTCGAGCTGACGGAGGAACAGAAGCAAGAGATCCGAGAAGCATTCGATCTGTTCGACACGGATGGGAGCGGAACCATTGACGCGAAGGAACTGAAGGTCGCGATGCGCGCGTTGGGGTTTGAACCCAAGAAGGAAGAGATCAAGAAGATGATTTCGGACATTGACAAGGACGGCAGCGGTACCATTGACTTTACCGAGTTCTTGGAGATGATGACGTCCAAGATGAGCGAGAAGGATTCGCGGGAAGAGATCCTCAAGGCGTTCCGGCTCTTTGATGACGACGAGACGGGCAAGATCAGCTTCCGGAATCTCAAGCGCGTGGCCAAGGAGCTGGGGGAGAACATGACGGACGAGGAGCTGCAGGAGATGATCGACGAGGCGGACCGCGACGGCGACGGCGAAATCAACGAGGAAGAATTTTTGCGCATCATGAAAAAGACCAGCTTGTATTAAAAATATCCAAACCACCATCATCATCATCATCATCCTTCCATTGCCTACTGCCGCCACATGGCGATGCGGCCGGACGAGTTGCCGCCTAGGAGGAACGGCAGGGTCGGATGGAAGATGTTGAGCGAGTGCACCGAGTTGAAGAGCGTTTCGTCCGCGAGGGACTGGCGGGGGGCGGGGCTCGTCGTGCCAAAGATGTCGATGCATCGCGGGCGCTTGTTGCCGCCGAGGACGAATTCGCAGTCGGTCGTCTTCTTGGGGTCCTAAGCATGCATGTTCACAGAGAGAAGTGTCAACTGGCACACGGACGTTCCATGAGATGACGTACCCAGGCCGCATGGAACTTGGTGAGCCACTGGCCCGAGTGGTTGTCGTGCTTGATCTTGCGAGGGGCAGACAGCGAGAGGTCCCGCGTGTCATGGAGGTAGACAAAGTCGTCCAAGCACACGGACACGACCGCCGCGCCGTCGGGGGAGAAGGACGCGCAGTTGACGCTGTTTCGAAATGCACTCGACGCCACACACCCAGTGCCGACGCGGCGGACGTCCCACAGCTTGACACTGCGATCCAACGACGCCGTCACAAACACACTATGGTATACGTATATTGTCGATTCGAAATTGGAGTTGGGGCGCTCAATCGACCAATCAAAACCCAGATCACGAATCAAGTAGCCAATCGAATCCATTCTTCGACCAAATCAACATTAATTAGTGTGCACAGGACGATTTTTACATACAAAGGTCAGTACAAACCAAAATCGATAGATTTGGCGAATCAGAGTCCAAATTTTGGGTAAACGGCCAATAATATATATATTCTATACTAGTAGATGATATATATATATATATATATTGATTGTACTGGGGGTTGGTAGGATGGCAGTGCACAGTGTTGATCTTTTTGTCGTGGAGGGCGTACTGGTGCTGATGGGTCAGTTTCGTGGCGTCTGTGCGCAGATCCGTTTGGATGACACTGCCGTCGTCACAGCTGAGGAACATGCACCCCAATGCCTGGTTGACCTACATATATAATATTGGAAATGGTGAACATTTCCTCGAAAAAAAGGTAAAAAACATTTTCGCACTTGGAAATTCGTAATGGCGGCGTCGCATGCCAACACGACGGCGGCCGACGACGCGGCGGTGGGGTTGGCCAGGTCAAGTCGTTTCACGACTCCCCCCATGCACGACGACAGCAACGCCGTGTCTTGGAAGAGCAACGTCGAGATCGCTCGTTTATGCAGTCGGAACGTTGCTAAGCAACTGTCGTCCTGTCGTTCGTTCGATCGAACGACAGGGGGCGTCCACAACGCCAAGTAACCTTCCACGTCTGCAATTCCAGCCAGAATCGTCTGCGACGACGCTAGCAAAATATTATATAAATACCCCTCAAATATATATATATATATACCAGACACGGCGCTGTGAAAGGCCAGCGCATACACGCGTGACGGCAGCGCCTTGACCACGTCTCGTGGGTCCAGCGAATAAGACGCAGTTGCAGTGGGAGGTACCACTGGAGCGATAGAAACGCCGCCTTGGTAGAACGCCCCCACGTGCAGCTTGGGCACGGTCTCCCACGATGCCGCCTCGTCGTCGTCGCTGTCGTCTGCTGCATGATCATACTTGTACTTTGGCACCGCCGGCAGCTCCGCCACCGCTTGAAACTCAACTTCTTGGCCCTGGACCCGCCGGGATTGCCGACGAGGTATGGAATCCCGCTCTTCCTTGACAAGTTTGCGATTCTCATCACGACGCTCCGCCGCAGCCGTTCGAGCGGCCGCCTTCTGCCTCGACAGGTCTGTGAATCCAATCGCTTCCATCAACTGCTTGTTGCGCGCAATGTTGGCCTGGCGCTGCCTCTCGTATGCAGACATCTCGTCTTCTTCTTCGTCGATCTCGATGTGGTCGTCGTCACTGGTGTCTTGGTCGATCTCGATCACCTCTCGCGTCGCTGCTGCCCCCTTCGCAGACTTTGCAGCCCGCCTTTCTGTGGTTCGGTGTACCTTCCGTGCCGTCTTCGAAGCAAACTTCAACACCTTGCTCGAGGCCTGGGAATCTTGAGCCACCTTGTGTACTGTCCGCTTCGCCGCCGCTTTTCCTGTCTTCTTTGGTGTCGTCCTTGCTGTCTTCGCTGCAAGTTTCACCTTTGAAACCTTCTTCTTCTTGCTCGCAACATGAGCTGCTTGGGTCACCTGCGCCTTGGACTCCTCCACCTTCGTTGACGCCGCTGCCTTCGCCGACTGCAACCTTGCACTGGTTCGCGCCATCTTGATGGGTTTTGAACGAGAACCAATACGACCCTTTTATCCGGATAATACGAAATTTAACCGAATTGTTCATTGTATCGCCGGCAATCGCGTTGGTCGCCGCGCCAGCGTCTTCTTCAAGTACTCCGCCGACGTGCTCGACTTGATGAGCCCGTAGTCCTATGCCACAAGTTTATTTTACTCCATGAAGACTCTAGCATGATAGACCGAGAAGAAGAATTGTACGTCTAGAATGCGCATGAGTTGGTCGGCCGCTTCGTATCGCTCTATCGCGACTCTCGCCACCGCATCCATGTACTTTGAGTTGTGCGTTTGATGGATTCGCTTCTCGCGGTCAATTTCTCGGTGCTGCTGGTCCGCCACCAGCGCGCATACGTGTTTCCCTCGCGCCTCCACTGCATCGATGCTTGATGCTTGCATCGACAGCCTACATGCAAAGTCGCATCATCTGGCATAGTGAACATGTCCATCGCCATGACGTACCAATCGTCGTTGACCTTAGTTGGCTTGCGACGATCGATAGGCCGCCGGTCGCAAAAGTACAATTGCGCGTCGGACACTGCGCCATGGAGTCGCCGACTTGCGCGAAACTGCCATGGAGAATTTAGCGATTCTGTGTCCTGATTGTACGGATTGTCACACCTTTTCCTTGACGCGCACACGCTTTAACGTGCGTTCGTACTCGTCTGAGAAATACGCCGGCGTTTCTGCAGTCACTGACTTGGGGGCGCCTGTCAAGACGTGGGTTGGTGAGAGAAAGGCGCGTGTTTCGATGGATTTCGTCTGACGCAGCGCCTCCAGTGCCGTCTACACGCTTTATCCGTCGATACAAGATCCACATGCAGCTACACATCGAAAGCACGTGTCTCCACACCTCGAGCACAGCCTTCAACGTACTCGCAGCGTCCGCACTGAACGCTGTCGCTGGGATTTGCTGTCGTTCTGGGCTTTGTCTTATGTTTCGAGTAGCAGTCGTCTTGAACTGATCGCGGTAGAACTGCATCGTTTCCTCCACGGAGACAGCTGCGGCGCGATGGACGGGGTCGACGGCGCCCCAGTACGTGCTGGTCATCGCTGCAGTGCTAATTTTAAACTGGCGCGCTTTTGGGAGTATCTTCCGGATATATATTATCCGGAATCTGGCCGGAGTTTCGGCGTAAATGATTTCAGGATACTTCGAGGTATACAATAATGCAATGGATTGTTTTCTAATTTCACAACTAATAGAATGTCCAAAGGTGTCAGTGATTTGGGACGGAATGGTACAACTACGACAACAGCACAAGTGATATGTCGCGGTAACCACCGGCAAGAATCCAAACCTATGTCGAACCTACGATATGTAGTCTTGCATGCAATCTCGAATAAACTCTAACGTTCATGCTGAAATGTTAAAGCAAGCCAATTAGAGAGCTTCATGTACAACTGTATTATTGGTCGTTCGTCATTCTATGCACTATTGCAGAATGGCCAGGGCAATCGCAACACCCGACACTGTCAACAAACCACTGGACGACGCCGTCGTATTCTGGACAGCCATCGGCTCATGGCTGGCTGCAGGTTTGTTCGTCGTGGAGGGAACGGCTAAAGTCGAAGTTAACGGGCTAGGGGCGGTCGCAGGCTTGGAAGGGGGTGCTGAAAGAGGTACGGGGTTCGTGGTAGTTCCGTCTTCCAAAGCAGTGACACCACACTTGAGTGCGTTCAATTGATCGGGGGTGAATATGTCAGGCTCTCCGGGATGGGTAGCTTTGGCCGTAGCCAGCTTCTCGCCAACCTTCCAAGTGCAGCAAGGGTCCCCGAGCTCGTCGCCATTGGTGGCCCCGTCGTTGTCCGAATCAGCCTGGCACAAACCAGTCGTCCACGTCGCCCCGGCCAGCTTGAAGGCCGCACCAAATGCATTGCGAGCCCCGCCCCCCGCTGGGTTGACATGCCCCAGGGCCTCCACGCCCGCCACCTTGTCCCCGTTGGGTACCTTTGCCACGTATTTGGGGAAACCGGCGGTGGACATGGCCAGGCCTAGAATTAACGCAGTTTTGAACGCCATGGCAAGTTCGACAATGCTGCATACCTGTATAATGACGATGACACGATCGAAATAGAAGGGACAGGTAAACAGGACTCAAATGGTACTTTTTATATAGGTGTACCATCAGGACTCGAATTGTACTGACCAATCAAAACACACTCAAGTCGCCAATCAAACTCCTGCAACCATCAACAGATTTTCCCTAATTTGGCTACCACTGTAAATTACTATTTATATTCATCCCATCCAACAGCTTCGGCTGATCGATGTCAGATACTAGAAATATATATTTTATTCTGTTCTATTTCTTAATAAATTATATCCCTTGAATGAAGGTGTGTTGGACAATAATGGTATTACGTTTTGCACCACAACCTTTGAATCACACATGTTTTGATATCTTCACTATGCTATTTCGTGCAACTTTCAACACGCACAACAAGGACAGTAGAGTGTATGTACTAGTAGTAGTTACTAGACCATGGCTTGCTTGGCTTTTCGCTGGGCCATGTGCATGAGCACCTGGCTTTGCGTGGGCAGTTGGTTGCGCATGAAGCTGTCGACGTACGTTTGTCTGGGGAAGTTGACCGCGAGGCGGTACTCCCCGTACAAGTGCAGAACGACGCCGAGCACGACCACCGCCGCCGACACGCCGTAGATCAGCGCCCCTTGCTCGACGTTCGTGGGCCAGAACGCCCACAGCGTCAGATCTGGCGTTGCTACGACTTGGGTGGTTTTGTCGCACACTTCATTAGCCACGTGGCGAACGCGCTTGGGCTGCGAAGCATACAAAAATAAGTTGCACGGCCCCGACTTGGACGTTGCTTCCGACCGCCGCATCCGCATGTACCCCTTCTCGCCCCACATGCTTCCCCACGAGTTGCGAATGATCCAATAGAGCTGTCCATCCTCACGGCCGTACCCGACCAAGATGACCGCATCTAGAATCCACATATATACATACTGTCAAGTCGAGTATTCGAATTTGGAGTGAGGGGCGTGCTCAATGAGCAGCACCAAATCGACCGACCAATCAAAACCCAGATCAAGAACCAAGTAGCCAATCAAATCCACCCTTCGACCACCAATTCACCATCGAATTAGTGTGTGAATTCAATTACTCTTTACAAACAAAAGTCAGTACAAACAATCGATCGATAGATTTGGCGAATCAGCACAAAAGTCAACCAAATTTTGGGTAAAAGAGGACAATATTGTTGTGTTTCTTCAAAACTGGAGTAGCGACGTGCCCAATATATATCGACACAACCAAATATGAAGAAGAATTGAGCCAATCCGATTGCAGAAACTTATAGTCATCAGTTCAACCCATCAACAACTCAATAGTGTGTGACTTCAATTAGTGTGATGGGTATCCCGGTGGAGATATTTGTTTATATATACAACATTCAGTCCACAAAATCGATGGATGTGGGAAATCAACACAAAAGTCCACATTTTGGCTGCTAGGACAATATCTGCGATACAGTACGAAGGGCGACGTACGATCGACAAATATGCCGTCGGTCTTGCAGTCGGCGGCGTCGTAGATACCCCCGCCATAGTGACGAAACCCCGCGCCGCTGGCGTCGATGCTCACGCTAACGGGGCCGTCTTGCAGGGCGGCGACGATCGCATTCTCGTCATTCTGGATGCTCAGGAACGAGGACGACCCAGTATCCCACGCGGCCGACACGTTCAACGCGTCGTTGCAGCGGGCTGTATCGTACGAGTCTGCGATAAGTTTCATGCGATACGGGAGCTCGGGTTCGCAAGTGAGGCCGTGGGGAGCGAGCTGGTCGAGGTACTGGTACGCGAGGAACGTCATTCCGCCGCCGCAGCCCCTCGCGGAGCTCACCATGCGGTTCGGGTAAGCGCTCTGAACATGCAAAAGGGACCGAGAGCAGCTCAGGATTTGCTCCACGCTCAATGGAACCTATATATCCATTTGCATCCTTGAGAACGGTCATGGGCATGCCGATATGAAAGATCGAGAAAGTACAGACAACAACAACGATAGAGTCGTACTGCTTGGGTGTTGGATTGGATGGCTGCCATGGACTCGACGACGGCGGCGCCCGTGAATGCCCAACAGCTGCCGCAGCTGCCTTGGTTCTTCACAGGGGTCACGTACTTGCCGCCATCCTTCGTCGACCAGTCGATGGTGTCTGCAGAATTGTCCGATGCAAGCATTCGGCGGCGGAAAGAGTCGGCGGGTTGCACGCGGTGATGGGACGGCGGGTGGACTTCGTCGGGTGACGTGTGCAGGAGGTCGAGGTACTCGGCATCAGTGAGGTCGCTCATGGCGTTCCACTTCATGGTGAAGGATCGATGCGGGTTTGCATTGTGTTCTAAGAAGGAGACGTGATGCGACGAGTGAATGGTATGACAAACCGGCAATGACGACGGCGGACTTGGCGAGAGCAGCTTGTCGAACGTCGCGTCCGCTTTTGGAGAGGGGCTCTGCGTCATCAGCGTTACGGGACTTGCGGTGTTCATGTAGGGCCTTGTCGAAATCATCTACCGACGGAACATGCACGGACGAGGACGTCACGGCGACGGCAGTAGCGGCAATAACCACAATGAAAGTCCGCATTTTGACGACGATGATCAAGATGGGAAGTGCAATCCACCGACGGGGCATGCATTACCATGAATTAGTGTTAAATTTGTCGTTTGTATGAGGTTCAGTATGTACCGACACTATTTACCGCACGGTATGGGCAAGAATAATTACTGCTAGTATTACTATGGCTTACGAAGTTCCCAGGTTTCGGGGTTTCGGGGTTCTGCTAGTACTGTATTACTAGCACTATGAAAACCCCGAAACCCCCAGGCAATGGGGGACAAAACCATAGTTACTATTACTTGAAGTACTACGTATTGTCCACACGGATACTGCGTCGGTGGTTTGTGAATCGTAGGACAATTCCACAGTCATCAAGTGTGAGCAGCCCATAGTTCAGTGTGCAATTTGCCATGTTATCCCTCGTGCTTTTCTTATGCGGCTGGGTGCTTGGTGCTGTCGATCAGTTGACCGACCACAGCGGAGGTAGCAGCAACCCAGTCCTAAGTCTGAAATCAACAACTAACTGCTGACTGTTTTAGCCGAACTGTCAGTTCATTTCCTAGCCATTGGGGACTGGGGCTCCACTGTGGCCAAGGCGGGGGGCGACAGTTCCTGCTGCAGTCAGTATCATACCCCCAAATCCGAAGCGAATTACACTAGGGATCTATACGCCCAGGCAAATATTGGCATGCTAATGGGCCAGTCGGCCAAATTGCATACCCCCCAGGCTGTCCTAGCCCACGGGTGCGTCACTCGTTAACATACATATATTCACATACAGTAGCCTAATGTATGATTTGGGTTTCTAGCGACAGTTTTTACTGGAATGGAGTGGGCCCAGATGTCGTGAACACATCGTATCGATTTGAAAACACATTTGAAGCAGTATACAACCACCCCGACCTGGTGAACGTGCCGTGGCTGAATGTTATGGGCAACCACGACTACGGGGGCAGTGGGTTCGTGCGTTCATTATCTCCCAAGTTGACTATCATTATTAGATTCATCTGTGGCGAGGAACCGTGCCCGTCCCCTCAAGCCATTCGACGGGGGCTGCAACTCAAATTCCAAGCCCAGCACACGTACAAAAGCCCTGCGTCGGATCGATGGCATTTGGGTATTCCACCAACATCTTCCTTTCTTTTACATGATTGCGGTAGATCACTGGTTCAAATCAACGTTTCGCCAAGGAAATGTTTCCGTGGATGTGTTGAGCGTCGACACAAACGGCCACGCCAACGTCCATGGCGCCACTCACATTTGCTGCCAGTGTTACGGCTACCTTTCCCTACACCCTCAAGTACGTCACTATTTCAAGTCGGTGTAGTGACCTCCTCTGCGTTTTGGGCAAGAAATCACCGAGTTTGTGCGCGAATCCAGTACCTGGCGAAGCATTGTGTGCTGGGGGGGACGTTGCTCTCTATTTGGCGTGTATGGATGAGCTGGTTGGCTATGCCAACGCGAGTTTGGCATTTGTGGAGACAGAAGCCAAACAGGCGCGCCAAGTCGATTGGAAGGTAGTCATAACCACCACCGTGCATATTGTGATGACGTTTGCCACTTAGATTGTGAATTCGCATTTTGCACCGCATTACCACATGGATCCCCAGTGGCAATCGCAATGGTATTTTCACATATTCCATCCATTTGCATGAGATTCCGTTACGTAGGCTTGAAGCCCTCCGCACCGCCCATTTGCTCGTCCACGGACACACCCATGGGGCGAACCATGTGAAAATGCGCGGCTGCGACGGAAGCCACCACCCAGTGCACTTTGTCGAGAACGGCGCTGGCGGAGGCATTATAGCCGAGGCGGGCCACGCCACCGCCCCTGCTGGCATGGACTTGTACGCCATTCATGCTAATGTGTTGGTGACGAAATGTCATTATCTCGAGGTAGGTTGTGGGTAGCTCCCCAGACGCCGTACGGATTTTTCGAGCTAGCCATGTCCAAAACTTGGCTCCGCTTGCAATTCGTGACCTTCGACAGCCAGTGGAACTTTGGGTCACCAAGCGAGGAGGGACAAGTCGTTGGAGGCCGTAGCGTGCTCTATTGCACGTGGATTCCCCATCCAGGCCTTGGACCAGCACACCATGAACTGCCTTGTTAACAGCAACACGATGTTGGTTCCTTTTATTTCGTGCGAGCTCCGTTGACAAAGCATCAAGTTCCAGAATTCCGTACTTTCTAGCAACATACACCTCTGACACCCGTGGGCTCGACCAAGCCAAGCCTTCCCCTGCGTCATTCAATGCCACCTACCGGTATAGCTCTAGACAGCCATCCAACGGCCACCACCGCGCCAAGTGCCGTTTGGACAGTTGCGAATGGCACGGTGCACCAGTGCAGACCAATGGCAGACGAGGAATCCAACCAATCTGGTCGGATGTACGTTTTATTGTCCCCGTCTCGCCCAAAAACTGTATTCCCTGCATTTTATTATTTCGCCCGATTTAACATACAAATCTCAAGTGCATACTGTATCAATTAATTCAAATTTTCAAAATTATATTCGCCTTTGGTGAAGATATCCTTGCGACATGATTCTAGGAATAAAACGTCCCATATAAAACGTCATGTCCCTCGAAGCTTTATCAATTCGCCAACACACACGAACAACATGGAGGACCGAGTGAGCTATGCTCTGGCGGCGCTCCCTCCAGGCAAGTCGAAGGATGACGTGCTCCACAGCGGCATCCTTCTCAAGCGAGGACATGTGAGGAAGAACTGGCTCATGCGGTTCTTCGTTCTCACCAGTGGCGCCTTGCGATACTACCGGAAACCTCCTGGCAGCAGAAGCACAACTTGGAGCGTCGATCCGCGCTACCTCCGGGGGGAGTTGCCTCTTGCTGACATCATCCACGTGGAAAGCGACGATAGTTCTCCACAACGAGGTCAACAGCCGCGCACGTACCGCTTCACGATCACCGTCCTTCGCCATCGCATCCTGTTCCTGTTGCGCCGACCAGTCCGGTTCCACGTGCAAGCTGCCACCGAAGACGAGCGAGACAAGTGGCTGCGGATCCTCAAGGAGCCCAGGAAACCTTTGTCCAAGGTGACGTTGCCCCACCTCACGTCGGCGTTGGATTTGTACCTGCACTTCGCCGCCGACCATTCAAACTCCTCCTCCCCGATTCCATCCGCGACTACGGTGGACAAGGGCACGGCCAAGATGCTCAGTCAGGACTTTCCCCTCTTCTTGGCGCTCCTGCGGGACATGCACGTGGTTGAGTCTGCCCACGATCTCGTGCGGATCCTCGACCAGGTCCAGGGCGAAGTCGACGACGGGCGGTACAACGACATGCTCAAGCGCATGTTGGCAGTCGCGGCCGAGCTCAAGCTGGAGCGACGGCCTTCTCTGTGGACAAAAGACGTGCAAATGGCGTACAGCTCCGTGATGAAGTCCATGTATCGGAGCCAGCCTGGCAACAGCGGCGGCCACTCGACCTCTCGGCTGCTGCAGCCCCTGCCTTCGAAACCCAAGTACACATTGGGCCGAATCTTGGGCAGCGGCGCGCACTCCGTCGTCCGTGTCGGGTACACGTCGTCGCATACCCAAGTGGCCGTGAAGTGCATCGCCAAGACCCAGTCGTCATGTTCGACTGAATTGCTACGGGAAGTCGAGTTGCTTAGATCGCTGTCCCACCCAAACCTGGTTCCGTGCCTGGATTTCTATGAAACCCCTGGGTTTTATGGCGTCGTGACCCCCCTCTGCACCGGCGGCATGCTCCTCACGGACCTCATGACCCGGCCGCGGTACTCGGAAGCCGACGCGCGGCGCGTGATGGTCCAGCTCGCCGGCGCCCTCGCCTACCTCCACGCCAACGACGTTGTCCACCGCGACGTCAAGCCCGACAACATCCTTCTCTACACGTCCGCGGCCAACTCGCCCATCCTGCTCGCGGACTTTGGGTTCGCCAAGCGCTTAGTCGGGTCGACCCGGGGCACGAGCTGCGGGACCCCGGGGTACATGGCGCCCGAAGTGCTGCTCGGCCGCGAGTACGGCAGCCCCGTGGATTGCTGGAGCTTGGGCGTGGTGCTGTTCATCTTGTTGTGCGGAAAGCCCCCGTTTCCCGGCTCCAACCACGCCGACATTTGCAATCGAGTGGTGGAGGCCAGCGTGAGTCTGGACCATCCCAACTGGAATGTCGTGACGGACGCAGGCAAGCAGCTGACGCTCAAGCTGCTCGTGGCCGATCCCGCGGACCGACTCACGGCCGCCGAGGTGCTCGAGGACCCGTGGATGACGGCGGACGAATCCGACTTGGACCTCCCCGGCGTGCTCGAGACGCTCAGGAGTTCCATGGGCATGCTGTCCATGTCAGAATTGGACCAAGTCGACGACATGACGCTCGACTTGGAGCTGTGTGCCCCGCTCGACTGATCTCGCGGCTAATTTAATCAACTAACTTAATACATAGGACTGTAGTTACTTGTTTGGCGGTGGGTAGAGACAACCACCGGACTTGTTGCAATACAAGTACTGTACCGCATACTACAGTAGTATACTGTAGTATAGGTTTAAACAGCCATATAGATTTGGACTCCTCTGTAAACTTATATAATCCTCTGTAAAATTATATAATTGGATTAGTACACTTGATTATTGTATGCATGTGGTACTCGACACTATCCTATCCGGATATTTGCCCCGTCACTGTCCAAGTCTATATGGAACAGGTACTGTACTACAGTAGTAGGTACACTTTACGAGTTTGGTAGTATACTTTACGAGTATATATCTTCGTTGGGGGGGGGGTTACTACTGTATATTGGTCGATTCATGGGTGATATTTCAACAAACCCCCCAAATTCGCCTACTATTTGGGCGAAAAGCACAAAGTTCTCTATTTCAACAAAGATGCTAAACGTTGTAATATTGACCACGTTGCTACCACTTGTTGTCGTGCCGTTTGGGGTACCCCCCGCCCAGCAGGTCGTCTCCCGCGCGTTTGAACCCCCCACCAGGGGGACCCACCCCTCCTCCCCCCGGGGCCCCATCCAGCGGACAGTCCTGTTTCCAATGGCCTTTTTGGCGGCACTTGTGGCACACGTACGTTGCGGGGGGGATCTTGGCCTGTGGGCAGTCGCTGATGTAGTGGCCGGCGATATTACATCGTTTGCACAAGTACCCCGCGGGCGGAGCCTTGGCCATGGCCATCCCCCCGCCTTCGTCTTTGCTCGGACAGTCTTCAATCCAATGCCCTAATACAATATTATATACCCATATTCAAAACGGAATATCAAGCCTTGTGTGGACCTTTGGTGCCGCAGCGGTTGCACGTGTAGTTCTCTGGCGGGGGTCGGCGCGGCATGTTGTGGTGCGGACCTCCTCCATGCATGGGTTTAAAGCTTCCGCCGCCCATCATCATCATGCTGGCGGACGACGGACCGCCTTGGCCGCCGCCGCCGCCGTGATGATGCCCCGGGATCATGCCGTCCATGTCGCGCTCCTCGCCGACGCCGGCGTTGTACTTGTCATCCATGCAGTCACCAGGCCGATTCCGACACCAGAATTTGGTGCTGTGGTCGTTGGAACCGCTGGCGACCACATGCCCCGCGGGGTGCCACTGGATGTCCCATACAGCGTTGTCGTGGCCGTGGGGGATCGTAGCGATCGGACTCTCTTGGCCGACGTTCCAGTAGAACAAGCTGCCGTCGTAGCTGCCGCTCAGAAACAGCCGCTCCCACACGGGGTGCCACGCCAGCGACGTCACTTCCCGCGCGTGGCCCTTCATGGTCGCAAATTCCTTGAGCGTGCGGATGTCGTACAGCTTGATCAGCTGGTCCCGGGACGCCGTGAGCAGCCAGTTGCCGTTCTGGTTCCAGTCGACTTTGACCACCGTGTTCTTGTGGCCGTGCAGCGTGTGCAGCGACTGCCCAGACTTGGGGTCCCAGATCTTGATCAGGTTGTCCTTGGACCCAGAAGCCAACAGCGCCTTGGACGGGTGGTACGCCACGCACTTGACGTCCCACCCGTGCCCCGTGAGCACGCGCTCTTCTTTAACGCTACACAACTGGCTCAGCAACGATCACATGAACGACCGCATGGTACCTTTCAAAATCCCAGATCTTGACCGTGGCGTCGTCGGAACAACTGACAAACTTGTAATCCGTGGGACTGAACGACAGAGACCGCACGGCTTCGCGATGCCCGCGCACCAGCTGGACGTTGGTCATGCTGCTCTGCCAGTACTTGATCACGCCGCCGTGGTCGGCCGTGACGAACCAGTTGTCGTTGTGGCTCCACACCATCGCGCGCACTGCATCGTCGTGGGCCTGGAGGATCGTCTCAAAGTTGAACGCGAGGCCATTCCACAGCGTAAACTCCCCCACCGAGTTGCCCGTGATCAACCGACGGCCTTCGGGTGTCCACATGAGGCAATTCACCGGACACCGCTGCTTGTTCGTGGAGCTGCGGCAGAACTTGGTGCATACCACAGACGACAAGTCGTCCTGCTTGAATGCACCCGGAGGAAGGATGTATCGCTTGTACGCAGAATGTGGATTCATCGCATATGCCGCGGGAAGGTCTCGGAAGTCACGCGCGAACTTTCGCATGTTCACGTACGAGATGAACGAGCTATTGGGATCAATGCACTTGCGCACGATAGGCTTCCTCGTGCGAGGCTTGCCGTCGAAGCCAAGCATGTTGCTCCCTCCTCCGCCTCCATGGTATCCGCCGCCAGCACTTCCACCGCCGCCATCAAACCGACCTTGCATCGCCACAGTTCTCAACCCAGCGATGTACGTATTTAATATCAGAGGAAAGCGATTATTGTATTAATTTGCAAAGGTTCATTGAGATTGGTTGAAATGTACCTATGGAGAGCATGGATTGGTCCTACCAAAATCATAATTAGCCAGTGAAATTTAAAGACAACTTGTAGCCAAACTGTAGCTCGGCTACAAGTTACGCAATAAAACTCAATTAAAAAGTCCGACGCCATCAAATTAATTACAAAGTGTAATTAATTTGATGCACGTTGGCGGCAACGGCTGTTCATTCGAGTGCAATTTCCTTCCAGTAAAACTGAAATTGTCTGCACTTCCGACCCATTCAAAGCTGGTTAATGCGCATCTAAAACCATGGAGGCCCCAACCACCATAGTTCAAATCATTTTGTATAGCTCACACATGGCATCTCCCAAGTACTTTGGTGCGACCTTGGTCTTGAGTCTGTCGTATGGTGCGACCTTGGTCATGAGAAGTGAAGATGATCTGTGGGCGTTGTCGACGGCTAACAACCTGACGTGCACCCCCAATGCTTTGTCCTTGCTGGGCGACCCAAACCAGTATCCCCAGCTGAAGGTCGTGGCAGTGGCTGGAGAGGCTTGCCCAGTGGCACTCAAGGACTTGTGGGCTCCAAGGGTCAAGTTGTTCAACCTGTACGGTCCGTCTGAATGTGCGATCATGACCCACGGCAGTCGGCTGAGCCTGACGGAATCCATTGCAATCGGGTCAGTGCTTGCCAACGTCCATTGCTACTTGCTGGACGACGCCCTCCGACAGGTTCCATTTGGCATTCTGGGTGAATTCTACTTGAGCGGCATTTGCGTGTCGCCGGGCTACATCAACTTGCCGGAAATGACGGAAGAGCGATTCTTGGTGGACCCCTTTGGCCATGGCCGAATGTACAAGACAGGGGATCTGGGTCGTCTGCTGCCCAATGGCCAATTCGAAATCGCTGGCAGACAAGACAGCCAGGTCAAGTTGAAGGGCTACCGCATCGAGTTGGATGAAGTAGCCAATCACATGATGCAGCACCCGTCGGAACGACCAAGCTTTCGCCACGTGGTGGACTACATCCAAGCACAAGACACGCGAGCAGCCGAAGAATTCTGGCGGTCCTACCTGAACGGAGTTGTTGTTACTTCTCTTGAGACCAACGGAATTCCACGGAATTGTCTGGCGGACAGCTCAGACCAGCCGCTATCCATCGATACGACGGCTTGTCTGTCGAGTTTGTCCGAGACAGCTCAGACTATCCGTGTGACCGTCGCCGAGTTGGTCAAGTTTGCGTGGGCTGCCACCGTCCGCAAGTACACTCGCCAGAACGATGTCGTGTTCGGCCAAGTGGTGGCGAATCGAGACATTCCTGTCCATGATGTCGACAGGTACTCGTTTTCCACCCGAATGAAACTTCTGTCTAACGTCTTGTGTATAATTCGGGGTCCTCTGGTCAGCACGGTGCCTAGCCGCGTTCAATTCGACGACACTTTGTCGGTGACGGCCATGCTGGAAGGTATTCGGCTAGAGCGTGGTGCAGTGTCCAGCCATTCCCATGCCAGTCTGATTGATATCAAGCGATGGAACGGCATCGAGGGCGACTTGTTCGATTCGTTGCTGGTGTACCAGAATGTCCCCACGGCTAGCTCGAAGGTTCGTCCAGTGGGCCAGCCAAGCAAGACGTTTTCTACCGACCACACGCTTGAGATCATCGTGACCCCCGCGGCGGCCGGACTGAGCTGTTGCGCCAACAAGTAAGGTATGGTGTTGGCGTTGTCTGGTGACCAAATGACCAAAGAAATGCTGCTGTGGCGAGTGGCGAAGGCTGTGTCAACGCATCGCCAAGTGGATTGGCCAAGTGCGATGGCTCTAGAAGCAACGAAAGTGTCTGTGGAAGCGGAATGGCCTCACGTTGTCAACTGGCCGAGTTGTGTCTCTATTGAGTCTGGCTACACACTTTATATGGTGGATGGACTACTTAATTGAATAAAATTTTATCAATATGATCTATGACTGACCAGAAAGACGACATTATAAAGGACGCAAAAGTAGTATTATTGTTAACCACAAGGGAAGTTACAAGGCATCGTGGAAATCTGATTGTAGTATTAGAACGCAGGTGCAATTACACTTGTATCCATTCCAAGTACCAAGTGGGACTTGCAGGCTACTTTGCTGGTGGGCTGCTTCATGTCGTACATATTTTGGTGAGGATTTGTTTCGACACGATCGATGCTGCCTTCCTTGGAGTTCGACTTTGTGGGGTTCTGTGCTTCTTCTGTCGGAGCACAAATCAATTTAGCAATCGACGCTGAGCGTTGCAATGTCCCGGATTTCACCAACTGGCCAACCGAAATTCGAAGTCCGATGTCGCGACAAGCACGAACAACTTTCACAACAGAGAGCGAGTCGCCTCCCAACGCGAAGAAGGACGACTGGCGACCGATCTCAGACACGTTCACGCCAAGCACGTTGGCCCACACTGTGGCCATTTTGAGCTCCACGTCTGTCTCCAACGTTTCGACGTCGACGCTCACGTCCATGGACTGCAGAACTTTCACGTCGATCTTTCCGTTGGAATTCTGGGGCATGTCGTCCAAGCCAACCCACACGGCTGGCACCATGTACACTGGCAACTGGTCCGCCACACACTGTCTCAACGCGTCCACGTTGACATGTGCAGGCGTGAAGTACCCCACGAGGTGCGTCTTGTCCTTGACAATGGCAGCGGCCGACTTGATCGATGGGTGCTGCATCATGGCATTGGCCACTTCGTCCAACTCGATGCGGTAGCCCTTCAACTTGACCTGACTGTCTTGTCTGCCAGCGATTTCGAATTGGCCATTGGGCAGCAGACGACCCAGATCCCCTGTCTTGTACATTCGGCCATGGCCAAAGGGGTCCACCAAGAATCGCTCTTCCGTCATTTCCGGCAAGTTGATGTAGCCAGATGCCACACAGATACCACCCAAGTACATTTCACCCAGAGTTCCGATCGGTACGTTTTGATGGTTGTCGTCGAGGATGTAGCAGTGGACGTTTGAAATTGGTGTACCGATAGTTACTGGTTTGCCAGGCAACAACTGATGTACGTGCGTGGTACAAGAGCCTTCGGTTGGGCCATAGCAGTTGAAGAGTTGAACATGCTGGCTCCAGAGGTCTTTCACCGAAGTTGGAATGGCTTCACCACCGACACAAACCGTTTTCAGATTCGGGTACTTTGTCGGACAGCCAAGCTTGGAAAGGCCGGTGGGAGTAATGGCTATAACGTTTACTGTCGAAAGCATGTCGATCTCGTCGCCACCTCGAAGTACCAGCGTGGCACCTTGCGACAGAGTGCTCCAAATTTCCCATTGGCACACATCAAACCCGATGGCCATAAACTGCATCACGCGAGCTCCTCGGACGATGCCAAGGTCGGACGAGCGGTATGTCGCTGAATTCACAATTCCAACGTGTTTTACAGGTACACCTTTGGGGTGGCCGGTGGAGCCAGATGTATACACGACATACGCTTCGTCGTGTCTGGTAGCCGTTTGCAGAGGAGTAAATGGATGTGCATGTTTGGCTAACGTAGCCGATTCAATGGAAACGACGTCGATGGATGCGTCCAAAGTCTTTGCCATGTCGCAATGTCTATTGGTGGAAAGGATGGCGTGGGCACCTGCATCCGACAGCATGAACGCCAGACGAGTGGCAGGAAAGGAGGCATCCATTGGAATCGTGGAGGCCCCCGTCTTGTGCGTCGCCAGTAGAGCGATGGGAAACTCCAAACAACGGTCCATGACCACAGCCACGCGAGATCCCACCGTCACACCCAACGTTTGCAACTGCCTCGCCACGGCGTTAGCTTGGGCATTCAATTCACCGTACGATAA